CATTGCGCAGTGCTGTTAAGCAGGCAAACTGCCAACACATAATGGTCTTTACTGACTCTATGGGTTCGGCCCATAGAGCGGTTGACCCCGGCATGCAGTCTGGTCAGGCTTTTAGCGTGTCAGTCTGTCGCGCTCTCCAAGAGTGGTTCGAGGCAGATAATCTCCGCCGCATTACCTTCGTTTACGTCCCATCTGCTTTGCGGTGGGACATCCATGGTGAGGCACACAAGTACGTCACCGAACTTAAAGTCAGGGTTGGACGTCGCAAGACAGATAACTCTATAGATGCGCTTCGCTCCCGAGCAGCGCACTCAGTCCTGGATTCGTGGAACTCCACTTTCCAGGATCCAACCTACCGAGGCTCTGAATTTTTAGAGCTTCAACAGCCTGACGGGCGGCCGCTACAGCCATCGTACCTCAATGGGGGACCTTGGCTTTCAACCTTCAGACACAGTATCACTGAGTTCGCTTGCGTTTGCCAGTGCATAACTGGCCACGCGCCCATTGGAGCGTACTACCGTCGCTTCAAGATCAATGAGCCTCACGGCTGCACTTGCGGGGCTGCTTTGCAGTCCCATCAGCATATTCTCTTTCGCTGTCACAATAGATACTCTGTACACTATCCCCGTTTTCTCAGAGATATTGCATCATTTATGAAGTATAACCCTATGGTGTTTGGCTTCAACCGGGACCCTTCGGATGATCAGATCACCTGGTGAGGCGGGATTTAGGGTGAATTAACACCATGAACCTTAGGATTTGGCGACCTGCACCAGCTTCATTTATTTGCGCTTGCAGCCGCTATTATTGTGGGTCGCGGCACTGCTAACTTTCTGTGTCTGGTTTCGGACACGCTTCTCTGGCTTGTCGGCCTCAAGACACCCTGCCACCTCCCGGGTGGTGCTGTTTTGTCTCATTGCGCTGCATGGCCTCCGAACAGCATTCAACGACTCTGGGGTTTAGCAGGGCCTTGATGGTCTCTTCCCCTTATCCCACATCACCGTTTTCGCGAGGTGGGTCTGGCTTTATGGGAGTTTAGGCGTTTGAGCCATAAGGCTCATGGTTGGGGGGGCAGACGTCTTTTAGTAGTTTACTTAGTACCCAGGCCGCGTAGTGTACTTGTTTGTAGATAGTGAGCGGCCTGCCATCGAGCACCGCTATATTAATTGTTGATTAAAAAAAAAAAAAAAAAAAAATCATACCTTCCTCAAGAAGCTCATAACCAGGATCTGACAACTTTGCAGAGCGCTGTCTTTATGAATGCCCATCCCTATTTTCCACTGGCTGAAGCACAAAATCTGGGAGCAGATAGAATGCAGGAAGAGATTCTTGACATAGCTTGGCTGTACTATGGATTTGTTCCACCACTTCTATCAACAAATTCTTCTCCATCTGGTCTGTGGTCAGAGAACCAGAAAAAGGAGTTTCTTCGGATGATTGGCATGTGCTACAACAATACTCAACACATCAACTTTGTGAACCAGCAGGTTCTTGAGGTGGATAACTTCATTCAACAACTTCTCAGAAATGAACAACCCAATGATGACATCTGGGATGGAGGTCTATCAAACCGCCAGTCTTTACTTGCTCATTCTTGGCTTAAGTTGGTTGTGAAGGCCTATTACGAGTTTGTCAACAACAAAAACAAACTTCAGCAATGTCCGCTCTATATGTTCAATTTTGGATCAGAGCGTACAGTGCCATGGAACATAGCTGTATATTCTGCCTCCACCGTTCTCATTATCTGTCAACTTGATCAAGGTTTCAAAGACAAGGACATCGTTCGCTTTCTTCTCAATCATGGCATTCCCTTCCGTACTTTGCAATTGAAGGAGACTCTTTGTCAGCATCCTAATTGTTATTATCCTCATTTCAAGTACCCATATCAACTCAATCACACCTTTACCAAAGCCGACTTCAACTCTTACCTCAGTCTCTGTGCTGAAATTATGTCCAAGCCATATAGTGGTCGAGCTGCTCTTATGAGAGGTGGTTATCTCTGGAGAGTTGGGACACCTTATGCTTCATTTGACCATGTTCTTTTGGGACCATCAGGATTATCAGACGATGGTACCAACTTTCATGCATATACCATGGAATCAAAGCTGGAGTACATTGACGATAATCTGACACATGAAGAGGAGAACATTCTTTGTGGTGCTTATACTCTGTTAACAACACCAATCCTTAATGAGAATGATGAACTTGAAGATGGAGAAGTTATTGGTGAGATTTTTCAAAAAAATTCTTAGAGTTTATTTGCTAAAATTACTTGCATCTTAATAGAGTATGAAGAGAAATTGGTGTCTTGGTTTCCATGACCTCAAGAATTTGAAAATAGCGGTCAAAATTACAGTTGCTGGAATGATCTGCTTGAGAACAAGTACTTGACTTATAGAAACCAGATTGACCAACCTCTGATTAATTCTGCATGGCGTAGCACCATTAAAAGCACCATAGTGTCTAGATGTTTTCAATTTCTTGATAATATTTCTCTTAACTCAATCGATGAGGCTCAGCATATCCATGTATAGAATAACATATCCAGATTAGAAATAGCATCAGAACATGGTCACATGACATGTTGAACTTGAGTTTCAATTTCATTTGGCAACTTTCAAGGCTTGCTCTTGTACCTCAGCATCCCACTAATGCTTTCAACACTTCTGCTCTCTCTTCTCATTTTAACTGCTCCTCTTGAGATATATAACTCAGAGTGCAAACTAGGTAAAATTTTGAATCTCTTTTGAATACTTGTATCATCTAACTTGAACTATAGATCCAGGGCCTTCTGCACTTTCCTCTTCTACAACAACATGGACAGAGTTTAATAACTCAGTGGCTATTTGCATTGGTGTATCAAGAGCCTCAACCTACATGTTCATGTGAGCACCAGAACCATTATTGATTATCACAACTGACTTGCATTTCTTCAGCTACTCACCAGAGTTTAGAGTTAGAAACTGAGTTTAATCATGAGTTAGAGATTGGCAGCAATCCAGGCATTTTATTTAGAATTTATAAAAAGAGTCATACACCAACTTATACTGGCTTTGCTCTGCTTGGGCAATTTTTGTTCAAGATAACATCTGCTATTCTATTCTCAACAACTCAATGCATTAGATCTATGGCCATATTTTCTACTTCTTCATTATGGTGCACTCCAGAGCAACTTTGCTATCGCATCTACCTTCTATTTCTTCAACACATCACATTAAAGCACTGCTATACTGCTATAGCCACTGTTTACTGGCCAGTGCTTTCCAGGATTCCAGCACATTCATTCTGCTATATTGCACCTTTTTCTTCTTGTTTACCATCTATCGTATATGTGCTAAACTATATACAGATTCAACAGAATAAATTCTGCTCTCATGAAGCTGAATTTGAATGCTTAGCTGTTCCTGATCAATGTGCAGGAGGAGTCCCTTCGCTCTATGATGGGCAAGGGACTCCTTAAGTGAGCCGCACCACATGCTCACTCTGCCGCCTTGATGACCCCAGCCGTGCGAGGGAAAGTCAAGAGCACTGTCATGGAGGTGGACGAGTGCGTCCACACCTTAACTGAGAGCTTTGAGCCCTTTGCGCCCGAAGCTCGCCCAGGCGATCGGTTACTGGACCGCTATGCGGACCGTCTCCACTTCAACAAGCGTGATCCTACTCAGGATAGGCGTCCGTATCTAGACGAGCTCATCGCGAGAGCGAGGGCCGACCCACTAACAGTACTGGCTGTAACTGATGGCTCTGTCCCCCAGTCCAACCAGTACCAGGCAGCTTTGGCTGCTATAATCTACAAGGGACATCGCGAGCTCAAGAGGACTCGCTATGTCTCTGGCAGAGTCACCGCCCCAGATGCGGAACTCAATGCCATCTCGTGTGCAGTGCGCCTTGCTGTCAAGCAGGCAAACTGCCAACATATTATGGTCTTTACTGACTCTATGGGCTCAGCCCATAGAGCGGTTGACCCCGGCATGCATTCTGGTCAGGCTTTTAGCCTGTCAGTCTGTCGCACTCTTCAAGAGTGGTTTGAGGCGGATGATCTCCGCCGCATTACCTTCGTCTACGTCCCATCCGCTTTGCGGTGGGATATCCATGGTGAAGCACATAAGTATGTCACCAACCTTAAAGTCAGGGTTGGATGTCGTAAGACGGACAACTCCATAGACGCGCTGCGCTCCTGAGCCGCGCACTCAGTTCTGGATTCATGGAGCTCCACTTTCCAGGACCCATCCTACCATGGCTCTGAATTCTTAGAGCTTCAACAGCCTGGGGGCTGCGGTAGCTCAGGTGGCACTATTGCGGACTTACCCCCAGGCTTGCGTTGAGCTCTCGAGTTCGATTCTTGCTGGTTGCATGGATAAACACACTTCAGACACCATGTGACTTTTCCACGCCCCCGGATGACACCGTCTGGGCCTCTGTATTAGGGAGCGACTACGTCTCACGTGTTCTAGACCCAAGGGTCTGGAGTGACCGTACCTATGCATGCTCACATAATGATATCAGGGTCACCTGGTTCTCCTTAGTCATCGAAAAAATGACTATGCCAGGAAGGGAAATAGGGAGCCAAGGGACAAGGTTGTGTGGATCTGCCGCTATGCGGCGAGACGGCTAGAGCTGACCCTTCGGGACAAGGTTCACATGATCTGCTGGAGCCTGCTGGGTGTTTCGGTGCGCTGACTTCCCAGAGTACGTAAAGCAAACCAGCGAGACGGCTAGAGCTGACCCCGAGGTGTTAATACCAAAAGTACTGGAGGGTGGGAGTGAAACTACACGAAACGGCTAAAGTCGTCTCCTAACACGGACCGCCAAAGAACCGTGTGGCACGTGAATGATGGAACAAACCCAAACCCATAGGGAGGTTGTGTTGGATGCCGGTCACACGAACGGCTGCTTTCGGGAGCTAGGGCGTTACTATGTGCGAATATACGCGATCTTATGCTTAGGTATATCGAAGCCCTGATTAGTGTAAATAGTTACGGGATGTCACGATAATTGGTATGATCACGGACACTTAGGGTATTACTTAGGTCACGCTGCTGATAGCCCGAGGATTGGATGTTCCCTTACGGTCATGTACGGAATGATCCTCGTAAATCAATAAAGAACCACATTCAGCTTCAACAGCCTGACAGGCGGCTGCTACAGCCATCGTACCTCAATGGGGGACCTTGGCTCTCAACTTTCGGACACAGCATCACTGAGTTCGCTCGCGTTTGCCGGTGTATAACTGGCCACGCGCCCATTGGAGCGTACTACCGTCGCTTCAAGATCAATGAGCCTCATGGCTGCACTTGCGGGGCTGCTTTGCAGTCCCATCAGCATGTCCTCTTTCGCTGTCGTGATCACTACTCCGTGCACTACCCCCGATTTCTCAGGGACATTGCAGCTTTTATGAAGTACAACCCTACGGCGTTTGGCTTCAACCGGGACCCTTCGGGTGTCGGATAATCGTTGTGGGCGGGGGTTGTTCCTCCCTTCGGGGGATTTATGGTGAATTGACACCACCGAGCTCTAGGGTTCGAAGACCTGCGCCCGCCGCTATTTCTTTGCGCTTGCGGCCGCTATTGTAGCAAGTCGCGACGCCGCTAACTCTCTGCGTCTGGTCTCAGGCAGGCGCATCTCTGGCTTGTCGGCCTTAAGACACCCTGCCACCTCCCGGGTGGTGCTCTCTTATTTCATTTGCGCTGCGTGGCCTCCGAACAGCGTCTGACGGCTCTGGGGTTTAGCGGGGCCTCGATGGTCTCCTCCCCTTATTCCGCGTCACCGTTTTCACGAGGTGGGTCTGGCTTTATGGGAGTTTAGGCGTTTGAGCCACAAGGCTCGTGGTTGGGGGGGCGGACGTCTTTTAGTAGTTTACCTAGTACCCAGGCCGCGTAGTGTACGTGTTTGTAGATAGCGAGCGGGCTGCCGTCGAGCACCGCTATATAAATTGTTGAATGCTTAGCTGTTCCTGATCAATGTGCAGGAGGAGTTAAGTATGCTTCACTCCAGAATCTTCAAAATTATGCACTTTCTAAGGATCACTTATCTAGGTTTTCTTCTAGTACTAAATTCACATTTGTGACTCAAACACCTTATAAAGACCATACATCAATAGCGTCCAATGACAGTATGTTAATTTGCTGGATTCCTCTCCAACTCATCTCATCTTTTCTCAATTTAGATCAACTCAAAAATATTGCTCAACTCCATAACATACAAGGTGATCCAAAGTACAAGCGATCAGAATTTCTTAAGCAGATTGAACAACATACCTGCGGTCTGCAATGTTTTGACTTGGTTTCAGTTTGGAAATCAACATCTGATTGCTCTAATAGCCAACACCAGCAGAACTATCATGACAGAAAGAAGAAGAATATTTTAAAAACTGAGAAGCCACAATGTATAAATAGAGATCATGGTTTGTTTCCTCCTCCTCCTCCTTCACATACCTTGATGCAGCGCATCATTTCAGACTTTGTGGCTGACACCAGCCCAGAGAAATTTATTGAAGCAGGCTGTACAGTTTGTGGCCTTTTGAAACCCATAAAACAGCTCAAATTACTTGCAGATGCTCAGATATCGCTCAATCCACTTTGCCTTCCTAACGTAACACGTCTTGAAAGAAAGTCCACAACAGATCCAATTCAAGACATTCCTGGTCCGGTTATTGATCCAGACTGTAAGCACATATGCCAAGGCTGTTGCAAACTGCTTAAGAAAGGGAAAGTACCACCTGCAGCACTGGCAAATGGCTACTGGATTGGAAAGGTGCCCCATGTGCTGTTGCGTCTTACCTATATTGAAAAACTGCTCATTTCCCAAGTGCGCCACAACCGCTGCATTGTTAAAGTTGCCTCTGGTAGATACAAAATGCGAGCTAACACTATTACCTTCCAGAATCCAACACCCAAGATATACAATACTCTTTCTCCTCTGGTTGCAGATCTTGATGAGGTATTAGCATTTATATTCACAGGTCCATGCAAGCCTACAAAGCAGGATATTGAACGCACGCCACTTCTAGTACATCAGAACCATGTAGCTGAAGCTCTAGAGTGGCTCAAGCTAAACCATTTGGACTATAATGATATCGACATTTCTCTGCAAAATCTGAGTGAATATCCTGAACATGATACTCCTGTTGTCATTGACTTTTGTGAGTCTGTTATCAACAAAGATCGAGAAGCCACTAGTGTACATGACAATGAAGAAGAGGACGGTGTTGAAACTGGTCCATGCTTGTTCACTGTGCAAGGCTTGACAGGAGAGCAGTATTCAAATATGTCAATTGATGCAATAAAGGCGCATGCCTTGGAACATCTAGTTAAAAATGGACATATCATGTTTGTTGGGCATTCAAAGAATCCTCTCAGCTTGTTCAACAACCCTCAGCTATTTCCCTCAATGATGCCATGGCTTTTTCCATATGGTTATGGCGGTATTGACCAGATTTGTCTTAAAGGCAAAGACTCTCAGTTAACTCAGAAACGGCACATGTTGTTATATCATGACAAGTGCTTCCAGCTTGATCCCAACTTCCCTCTCATAGCATTCAATCAGGAGCAAATTCAGCAGAGTTCACGAGGCAGCTATCTCACAGCAGACAAGGCTTTCTTTCCTGAAGTTGCTGACTGGCTTTTACGCATCAATCCATCTATCTTGACCAATATCAGTCAGCAGTTGTCTCAAGGTGAGAGAGTCAAACCAGAATCAGAGGCTGAGAAGGCTTGCTTTTAGCTTATTAATGACCTGGACTGTGTAGGCGGACATGTTGAAGGCTCACTGGCTAGCAAAAAGCACATGCGGAATGAAATATGGTCGCTCATCTCCTACATGGGTTGTCCATCCTGGTTCATTACTCTGTCTCCAGCTGACAATAAGCATCCAATATGCTTGTATTTTGCAGACTGTAATATTGAATTCAAGCCAGAAATTCCCTTGCCTGATGATGCATACCGCCTCATTGCTAGCAACCCAGTTGCAGCTGCACACTTCTTTCATTTCATGTGCGAGAATTTTATCAAGCATGTTCTTGGAGTCAGTACAAAACATCCTGGACTATATGGAAAAACCAATGGCTACTATGGAACTGTCAAACAGCAGGGACGCTTACTCTGCATCTTCATCTCCTTCTCTGGATCAAAGATTCTTTGTCACCTCAGGAGATCCGCAAATGTATTATGGATAATACCTCTGACTTTCAAACAAGAATGGTTCAATATCTTGAAAGTGTACACAAGGGAGAAATGCATTCAGGCACTCTAGATAAAGTACGATCTCGTGTCAAGGAGAATTCAAAGAATTCAGACTACTCCGATCCTACTAAGACTATGCCTGAAGCACCACCTGCTTTGTGCAAGCATGAAAAGACAACCAATACAGATAACATCTGCACCAACTGTACAGCTTCTGAATTATGGTGGAAGAAATTCAATGAGACAACTGATGACATTCTCTCCCGTTCCAACTATCATGACTGTCGCCGAACATCTGAAGACGGCAGTGGGCGCACAATCAGAAAGGGATGTCTTAATAAACATGGTCAATGTCGTGCCCGCTTTCCTCGAGATGTCATTCCAGAGACTATGGTTGATCCATTGAGTGGAGCGCTGAAGATGAAAAAGGGTGAAGCATGGATGAATACTTTCACTCCTATCCTTAGCTATCTTTTTCGCTCCAACACCGATGTTACAAGTCTCCTATCTGGAACAGCTGTTAAAGCAATTGTTGCCTATGTAACAGACTATGTAACAAAACCTGGACTGACGACCTATTCTGTATTTGATACGGTACATCAAATCTACGCTTGTAATAGTGAGCTTATTGGTGGCTCACTGGACCGCCGAGAAATAGCAAGATCACTCATGACAAAGATGGTGAATCATTTAACAGCAAAAATGGAGATAGGAAGTCCTATGGCTTCTCTGTACCTGCTTCGAAATCCTGATCACTATACTCAGCACAAATTTGAGAATGTCTACTGGTAGGCTTATGTTTGAGAGGTGCGAAAGATATGGGAAGCAGAAGCAGAAGATGAGAAACAGGAGTGGGTCATCCTCAATAAAAACTTGGGCAAATATGTAGGTCTCTCCAAAGTCCAAGACTATATCTATTGGCCCACACAATACCAAGATATCAGCCTATATGAGTGGATTTGACATGTCAAAAAGTCAAAGAGAACACCCAAGGAAAAGAAAGTGTTTCTTCAGAAATTATCATTTCAGGCATCAGATGATTTAGCTGGTTCTGAAAGTGAGGATGAGCTGAACATTGTAGACTCTGTAGGTGGTGGAAAATCCAATGAGACTGAGGACGAACTCAATATCATTGACAAGCCTTTGAATGAAAGTTGCAATGGAAAGAAATTTTCATTCCTCCCTCAACATCCACAGTATAAGACACATCAAGTGATGCTTGTGAAGGATGATCCTCTTGTAGTTCCAAATTTTCTAGGTGGAACACTTCCAAGAAGCAATCAAGGTGATCGTGAATATTATTGCTCAACAATGCTCACACTTTTCAAGCCTTGGCGGAGTGGATTGGATCTAAAGAATGCTACTCAGACCTGGGATAATGCCTTCTACTTGCACAAGTTCTCTCCACGTCAGAAAGAAATTATAGGTAACTTCAATCTTAGGTATGAATGCAATGACTCACGAGATGACTACAAAGCTCAAGAAGGATTCCTTGACTACTGGACTCATGTCCTCATGGATGACTGATGAAGAAGTGCACAAGCTTGATGACACCAAGGGAATAATGGAATACAATGATGATGGCCCAGTCATTGACTTTGATGAAGACAATTTCCTGCCAGACCTGCTCAATGAGGATTCCTATCATGAGAAGGAAATGGCTGACATTCAGAAAGT